CGTTTCAGTGTGGCATATAATATAAACCAGTGTGTAAAGTTATACTTGAAAGTAGGATATACACATTTTCCACCATCTTCATATTTTTGCACAGATCATTGGATTTGATGTTCATTTATTAGGGATATACACCTACAGAGCTGTACAAGGAAACAACTACAGCGCTCTTAATAATGATGCAGCTCAAAGGTGGAGCATGAACTTTTCAAAAATATTAGTCAAACCCTGGGGCAGAGGGACATCATGAAAGTTTTGGCAATTGAATATATACACTGTACAGCACAACTATAAAAATCTGAACTAAAAATTAATAAAGTTAAGAACTAAAAGGAGCATGCAGGCAGGCAAATGAACAGTCATGACCTCTTCTATATGTGTCCATTTAGTGAGCAAAAAAATGCATAAATATGATAATAAACCCTAAAATATTGTTGAATGTTCAACTGCTGAGTTGCATCATCATATGGAATTGATATTTTAAATAAAATCAGTTAAGGATTTACTGGCTTTCTTTTCTTGCAATGGCAATGGAGAAAGAGCTCATTTCTGTGCTGAGGTACCTCAGGTGGACTTCATTACTTCTGGAGACAGCATGGTAATAAAAAGCATAACTGCCAGCAGAGGAGACTACAGCTTAACATGGGCTCAATCAAATTTAGCAACCACGCACACCATTTGATTCCTCAAAACTAAATGCTTTCAGAAAAAAAAAATGACTAGGTCTCCATTGCAGCTTAACAGGAACCAGTTCAGATGTGAGATGGGGCTACTTTCAGGAGGTGCTTGAAAGAACATCTCTTCAAACTGAGACTAGTAAATACCCTTCTGAAAAGTGTTATGATGGAGATGAAACACCCTCACATGTCATAAGTGACCTTGAGGTTCTAGCTTACTTAACATTTTGTGACTTGTGACTACAGTTTATTAAGTCAGGTGAATATCTAAATGCCCCATTAAGCAAAATATTGCACTTCATTTGAGGCATGGGAGTGTTGGAGGGATAATTAAAAAAGTGGACACACAATATTTCAAGTCTGGTTATGGTGTAAGGGGCCAGCAGAACACACCCCTTTAATCTACATCTACACAGCCTTTGTGAGTGTACAAGAAATTTGTAACATGTCACATGCATAAGAAATTGTTAATTTTGTTCAAACACATCTGAGGTTTGCAAATGGCACCATAATCAATGCAGGGTCACTATGCAACATTTGTTACTATTACAAACAAGATATTCTTTGGTTAACTTCATTTAGATTAATATGTAGATCTTCACTGGAGCCAGGGTAGTGTAGTCAGTACAGTGACTGGCTACGGGCTGAACCACTGAGGGGTCGGAGTTCGAGTCCTGGGAGGGTCAAGAATTTTTTCTTCTCCAAATCATCCAGACCAGCTCAGGGGTTCACCCAACCCCTTATCAAATGGGTACCAGAGGCTCTTTCCCGGGGAGTAAAGTGGTCGGGACGTGAAGCTGACCACTCACCTCCAGCTAGTACTGAGGTCAAGGAAATGTGGATCTATACATTCACTCCCCCCTACGCCTTCATGACATAGTGCTTAATTCATTGAGCACAGGAACAACTTTACTTTATACAGATCTTCACTGAAGTGTGAGATGTAATAATGTAGTCACGTAAGATAATCAATGCATTCATAGATGAAGGAAAAATAAACATTATTTTGGTAGTGGTAAAGAGCTCTCGTGATATATTAAAGTGGTAAATAAATACTTTTTAATGAAGCCACAACAGCACTTAAGCAACAATGTTAGCTGAATATTTCTGATGGATTATCTCCAATTGCAGATATAGCAGAAAAACCCACATAGATAGCTTTGTCCAGATTTATCCTAAAGAAGGTCATTTTTTGATAATTTATATTTGTTCACTAACATCTGAATTGGACATCTTTTTTAATACTGCAATTTCTTTGTATCCAGTTATCCAGAATAAAGAATTTACATTGTACTGACACTTTTGTTTTGTAACTTGCAATTGACAGAAACTAGATAAACATTTTTATTTTAAATTTGTAAAAAGATATCGCTGTAACAGGCCGTGAAGGCCCATAGGGCTGTGAGACATCAATTCTCCCACATTTTCTCTAGACAATAGGCTCACAGATGGCAGTAAGGTTGTCAGCCTTATGCGCCAGACACCCATTTCAAATATGAATGTAAATATTTAAAACTGAAAATCAGAGGGGAAGAAGCATAAAGTTTTCACTGGTGGTTAGGTTATTTGGTTACTGTCTTACCAATCTGTGAAGTCCATGCATTCCACACACTGTTAGGTACAAGTTTTGGATCTGCTCCGATCTTTGAATTCTCTGGCAGTACTTCTACGAGCCATTCTATGAGATGAGGCACACCAGGCTGACCCACACGCATCAGCAACCAATCACATGACAGTTGTATATCAGCTTGTAGGAAGTAACGGCCATCAGTCCACAACGCTGCTCCCCATTCTCTAGTAATAACAGCAATTCCATCACTGCCTGAGAAGCCCGAAATGTATGTGTACCTGCGATCCCGATTTGCTGGAATCTCACTCTGTCCCAAAAAACAGAGATAACTAAAGAAGTATCACTGAATCCCACTGTCCACATCTGATCCTTTATTAATATACAATTGATCCTTGGCTTACAATGAGTTATACTCTAAAGTTCCATTCATAAGCTGAGTTGTTCTTAAGTCATAGTCCTATAAGAAATAATGTAACTAGCAATAGTCAAGTATCTATGCTTTTGAATAAAGCCTATTTAGTCTACAATTCTGTATTGTATGCAGCTCATATGTATGGATGTTTGAAAGTTCAGCATTCATATCTTCAGCACCAAGTGTAAAATGAAACTAATGAAACTTTGGTACGTTTACTATAAGAGTTATGATAATGGTTAAATATCATTCATGTTGTCTATGTAGTATGTAGTGCAAGTATATGACTAACATGTAGTAATAAAATACTGACATGTTATTGGTCACCAGCTGGAGAGGTTCACACAGACATGTTTATGCAACTTCTTTGTCCCTTACAGCAGAAAAATAGGTAGTGAGAAAATCAGCAAAGCAATTGCTTGATTCAACTGATGAAAATGACGTTGACAAGAGTTTCAATTTATTTTTAAATATATTTTTGAGAACTGATTATTCCAGTTTCTCTTTAATTCAGGAAAAATGTATCAGAAAAAATAATTCGTGGATCACACCACGAATAATGAAATCTTGTAAACATAAACGAGAAATTTACAACAAATTAAGGAATAATAAGAATCCTAATTTTAGAATTTATTACAGAAACTATTCTAAAATGCTGAGTACTGTTATAAATAAGGCAAAAAGAATGGAGTATGATAAATGTATCCTGCACTCCCACAATAAAATAAAAACTACTTGGGGTATTATAAAGAAAGAAGTAGGTAGGAATACAAGTAGGATAGAAATAAATACAGTAAAAATTGATGGTAAGATACTAAACAATCAACATGATATTGTAGGAGAGTTTAATAAATATTTTGCCAATGTTGCTGACAAAATAAAAAGACAAGCCAACAATAATTCCATACCTATGAATGACTCAAAAAATAAAGAAATCATATGTATTATATGGATCAAGCTTTTATAAATTCGTACCCAAATGTAAACTAAATGTAAAGATTCTTCCAAGCAGAAGTGAGTGTTCTCTTCGTAACCCCTTCCCACGCCTTTTTGATCATCTTGAGGCAGGCAACGATGTGGAAGTGATATTTCCAAAACTCTCTCAGAGTGAGATTGGTCCCTTCAGTCACTTCAAAACAACACTCGAAGAGTGCTTTAGTGTACAGCTTCTTAAAGTTAGAAATAACCTGCTGGTATATAGGCTGGAGTAACAGAGTGGTGTTGGGAGGCAGAAACAGGATCCTGATGAATTTAAATTCTTCAAGGAGGTCATCTTGTAGGTCTGGAGGATGGGCAGGAGCGTTGTCCATAACAAGCAAGACATGGAGTGGCAAATTCATCTCAAGCAAATATTATTTAACAGAAGGACCAAACACTTCATTGATCCAATCAGTAAAAAGGTCACATGTCACCCAAGCCTTGTTGTTGGATCTCCACATCACATTTAGCCTGCTCTTCTGGAATTTACACTTCTTGAAGGCTCGTGGAGTTTCTGAATGGTAAACAAGCAGAAGTTTAATTTTCAAATCACCACTTGCATTGGAACAAAACAGCAGTGAGACACAGTCTTTCATTGGCTTATGGCCGGGCAATGCATTATCCTCTGCTGTTATATAGGTTCGCTTCAGCATCTTTTTCCAGAAGAGACCTGTCTCGTCACAATTGAAAACCTGTTGCGGCAGGTAACCCTCAGAATCTACGAGCTTCTTGAAGTCGCTGATGAAGTTCTCTGCTGCCTTTGTCAGAGCTTGCTGCTTCACCGTTCCTTACAACACTGTGGATGCCTGTTCTTCTCTTAAACTTCTCGAACCACCCACAGCTTCCCTTAAATGCTTCTTCTTTGGCCGTTGATGATCCTGGCGTCTTCTTAACGAGGTCAGCGAAAATCACTTTCGCCTTCTCACAAATGATGTTCTCGTTAATAGTGTCGCCTTGCAATTGCTTTTCATTTATCCATATGAGGAGCAACCTTTCAACATCGTCGAGAATATGTAACCGTTGCGTAGATATTCTTGTCACTCCCGTTGAAGCATCTATCGCCTTAATCTTGTCCTTGTTCTTGAGGATAGTGCAAATTGTTGATGTAGACTGATTGTATGTGCGTGCTAGATCAGCCATGCTCACACCTCGTTCTCACTTTTCAATGATTTTATGTTTCATTTCTACGGTTATTTTTATTCTCTTATGGCTGTCTTTTTGCGGCTTTTTCTTCGGGGACATTTTTGCAAGGGTTATTAAACTTTGCACAAAAAAAAATCACAAATAATATGTCTGAACACAAGTTTGGAAAAATGTGTGATCACAAGCGACACTAAGATACTAGCAGAACAAGTGCTACACACAGACTGATGTAGCAAGGGCACAATCTGGGACTTCCCCTCTTGTCACTCGTTAAGCGAGTCATTTTTTTACAATTTGTTTTGCTCGTTATGCGAATTACTTGTTATGAGAGGTGCTCGTTAAGCGAGGTTCAACTGTACAGTCATATAAATCCCAAAAATACTGTTAAAGACATGACAAAGATTACAGTAACATTCATATTCATCTTGGTTAATATCAATGAGATTAATGAATGTCATTCCTTTCTGCTCCTAGTTACAAGGAAACAGCCTCTGTCAGGGCCAGTAACCTTTTAATTTGACCAGTCAAGCAGCAATTAGTCAATTTAACAACTTCTCTCATTCTTGCAGTGACCACTTAAATACTTAATAGTAATGAACTGTGCATGACTATTAAGCCATTAACTTTTGACTTTCTAAACATGTATTTCTGCAACAGTATGACTTCGTTATTGTAAATGCTTCGGAACTTATATCAACTCTTCTTGGAACAGAAATTCAAAGAACAGCTGTGTGAGAAAGAAGTTGTTCATTGGTGCACATGGAGAGCATTTCATTGTTTCTTTATTGGCCAGCTAATTCATTTCAGAGAAATCTGATGCTATAAACCAATTTCACATAGAGACTGGAAAATGAATGAGTGCTTTCATAAGTGAAAGAATATTATGCTTTTCCTAAATCTACTGTTTTTAATTCCTAGGTGGGAAAGCTGTGATAATGTGTCAACTGCTCATGATATGTACCAATGAATGATAAGAAAAGCACCATTATGAATAGTGATCTTTGAAAGAGATGGAAGCAGTCACAAATTATTTTGAACTGCTGGAATATTTGTTTGGCAGGGCAGAAATCCACAGAAACCATTTGGGAATGTCAGTCTCAAATCTGAGATTTGAAACTGGTACCTCCAAATATGGGGGTTCACGGTAGCTTAGCTGGTTGAGGCACTATGCTACAAGCCGGAAGGTCATTGGTTCAAGTCCTGATTAGGTCATTGGATTTTTTCAATTGACCTAATCCTTCCAGCTGCACTATGGCCCTGGGGTCGACCCAGCCTCTAACAGAAAAGAGTACCAGGAATATTCCTGGGGGTAAATGGCAGCCAGGACGTAGGGCTGACAACCTTGCCACCATCTATGAGCTGACTGTCTAGAATATGAGGGAACCTCAACATCTCCCAACCCTATGGGCCTCTACGGCCTGTTACAGGGATACCTTTACTTTTTTTTTTTTACTTCCAAATGTGAAATAATGGTGCTAACCATTACAAAGTGACATTGTGTATAAGTGAAGGGAAAAATTAATTTCAGATTATGATTCCCAACATTTACCTGAAGGAAGTGACAGGTTTCAAATATGAAGTAGATATTAAGTGAAAAGCATATACTTTTTTTGATGATTATTGCCCTTAACTTACCTGATGTCCATCATCCCTGGTGATGATGAAAGCATCCAAAGCCATTGCTTTCAGACGTGCTCTTAATTCTCTCAACTGACTTGATGTGTCAACTCGTCCTGGAGGTGGGGCCTTGGAAGGGGAACATCTGTTCCTGTGTCCCATGACAAATGACATGCAGAGACCCACACATGTCAGTGTAACCAAAACTGTAAATTAAAAACATACAATATTTTTAAGTCATCCAGACCAGTACCGGGGCCCATCCGGTCTCCTAGCTAATGGGTACGGGTAACTTTTTCCTCGGGAGTAAGGCGGCCGGAGTGTAAAGCTGATCACTCACCACCAACTAATGCCGGGATCAAGAATCTGTGGATCTACACGTCCACTACACCTTAAGTGTTCATAGCGTAGTGCTTAAATGGTTAAACTAGGGGCGAACATGCGTTGTCAAAACCGTCAAAACTGAAAAAGCATCTTTCACTATTTCAAACCACGCAACTGTTTCAACCTAATACGTACACCCACGAACAGCTGCCAACGTTCCGATCGCTTCCGATGGACTTGATGGTCCTTGATGGTCTTCGATGGTCTAGAACGTCTAGAACGGTCTAGAACGTGCCTGATCACCACAGATGCCGTCCTACTGAATACGCGAGAACTGACTAGAACCACTGGAAAGTTCTTGAATGGCTAAGACCCCCGTATTGATCCGTGAACCATATATAAGCAAAACAAATAGTGGCAACTTACGATTGGTGTCATTGGTGTTGAGCAGTGTTGAGCGCGATTGTTCGAAGGAAGTTTTGGATAGTGTCGTTGCTAAAGAGGATCAGTATCTCTGACCTACCAATTAATATAAAAGTTTTCTCTAATAGACGCCTTAAAGGTAAGTTAAATATGATTGGAAATACTTATAGGTAAATTATTAATTATCTTTATAATACACGCGCTCACACGTACATATTAGTATAATCTTTATAGTCTCAACATTTCCGATTGTGAACTTCATGGAGCTTAAATGTTATATACGTATGTTCCTAAATCTGGTATATAGTACTCGTATTATAGTAGCAGCTAGGACAAGAGCACATACAGTCCTGGACCTTTAGATTGCGGGTTCGAACTTACTGCATATTATGCAATGGACTACTTCTTCAAGGAGTTTTACCGAATGTTTTTTTGGTCTTAAACAGATTCATTAATTCTGAATGTGATCATACGAGAGCACCTAATTGTGACATCCGATGTAATAAACTTAAAGAAAACACAGGTTTAGTGATGTGACATACCATTTAGGTCAGGGTACATTTTTCATATAATTTATGTGAAAGAAACTATGAAGTTCTGTTTCCTGTGCCGGCCAATTTAGCATCCCAGTGCTTGACGGTAACTAAGTATTTGTTGCTATCTTGTCACCAAAATGCAGGCCAAAATCATGACATAAAGATAGATAACAGATGCTTTGAAAATGTGCCACAGTTCAGCTATTTGGGAACAACTATAACAAATCAAAACCTCATTCAGGAGGAAATTAAGAGGAAACTGAACTCAGGTAATGCTTGCTACCATTCAGTCCAGAACCTTTTGTTTTCTCGTTTGTTTACTAATAACATAAACATTAGAATCTACAAAACTATAATTTTGCCTGTGATTCTGTATGGATGTGAAACTTGGTCTGTGACTCTAAGGGAGGAACGCAGATTCAGGGTGCTGAGGAGAATATTTTGACCAAAGACAGATGCAGTGATGGGAGGTCAGAGAAAACTGCATAATGAGGAGCTCTGTAACTTCTACTCTTCTCCAAATATAATTAGAATGATCAAGTCAAAGAAGATGTAGTATGAATGGGGAGAGGGGGAATGCATATAGGATATTGGTGGAAAAGCTGGAATAAAGAAGACCACTGGGAAAACCAAGATGTAGGTGGGTGGACAGTATTAAAATGGATCCTAGAGATATAGGATGGGATGGTATGGATTGGTTTAATCTGGCTCAGGATAGGGACCAGTGGAGGGCTCTTGTTAACATTGTAATGAACATTCAGGTACCATAAAATGCTGGGAAGTTCTTGAGTAGCTGCACAATTGGCAGCTTCTCAAGAAGGGCTCAGCTCAATGAGTGAGTGAGTGAGTGAGTGTGTGAGTGTGAGTGTGAGTGAGTGCTGAGCACAGTTCATATACAGATGGCCTTAAACGCAATTTGTCAGTTTTCCTAATGTATTTAAACCATATGAATCGAACTCCACATGCCCTTAAGTAACTTGGAGAAATGTTTATTGATAATGACACCTTTTAGAATCCTATGGCATGAAGGTGAAGGGTGGTAAACTACTCTCTCAATAAAGTGAAGCAAACATGCTACTGTTCTGCAAAATGTTTTCTCATTTAGCTGTAAGAACCATGTTAAATGCTACATTTACAAGTAATTTTGGCAATACACTTTATTCCAGATGTCTCAAATTTCATTTCTTTTACGTGATTTGCTCGATAACCTACAAAGACCTGCAAGTTTATTTGATCAAAACTTTGGCACGGGAATGCTAGGAGATGATCTGCTGCACTCTTCCATTGTGGCCCCCCTTGGGGTTGGCTACTGCAGACCATGGCGCAGTCAGGCTGCCCACCACAGTGGCATTTCACACATTCAGGATGATAAAGACTGTTTCAAGGTAAGCGTGTCTTGTTAATATTTGCCAATGTGTAGGTGTTTTATTCAAGAGAAATATCATGTTTTGGTAATTTTGTAAAATTTCAAATTTCTCCTAAAAATAAAATAGGAAACATGCCAGTTTGCTTACCAAATGAAAACTGTTTCACTTTAATGTAATTATATAAAGAATGAGAATTGTCATGAGGCATACAGTGGTGTCGTGTGTTAAACGATTATATTAGTTCTATTATTAGAATCATCGTTGTATTATCTTAGTATATTATTATATCATTATATTATTATTTATTATTGTAAAGTATTTGACTTGTCCTATATCATGTATAATGATCCAAGGATATGAAGTAAATAAATAAATAAACATTTAGAAAAGCAACATCACCTACACTTCTCCAGTGATCTCTTTGGATCTGCAATTAATAGTGATATGAATATTTCTAAATGAGATGCCTGTTACTTTTGACTCTTATGTTTCACAGCAAGATGCAAGTCCTTGACAACTGTTTGTCTAAATTGTGGTCATCTGCCTTAGAACACCATTAATCTTGTAGATGATTACTGACATTTTGGAGAAACTGGCTGCCTCCAACTTCAGAACTCTTCTATCCTGTTGAAGGCAGCGGATTTCTTCAAACTACACCATCACCCAGAAGACCAGACTGTTAATAAGATTTGAGCCTGTCACAGCAGTGAAGATTTATAATATGTTTCTTCTGACTTGTGACACCATATAGTCTTGTATGTAGTTAGTTATCTTCTATCTGGAAGAGGGAGGTGACAAGTTCCTCTGCCTATTGGCAAGAAGAAATTGGTCTGTCCAATTATCCACACTTTTTATTCTGGTTGAATAAACTTTTATGCAGCTTGGTCCTTTAGGCTAAGATTTCCAAAACAAAGTGAATTTGTCATGATGTGTTTTTATGAAATTTATGAAACAGATTTACTTTATTCAAAGAACAAATTGCACTGCCATTCTGCATGGAATTCTAAATTAATTTTTATATAATATATTGCAGTATTTGAATTAATAACCTGTCCCATAAGAAGATTTCAGTGTTGTGTTTACTGTTTCTGAAGTGTGTCAACACCCTGAATTCCTGATAACATTACATATTTTATTTATTTGTATTTATTTCTTGTAATTTGTTTCAGGTAAACCTTGATGTGCAGCAGTTCAAGCCCAATGAACTTACAGTAAAGACTGTAAATGATTATGTGGTTGTAGAAGGCAAGCATGAAGAGAGACAGGATGAGCATGGATTCATTTCTCGACAGTTCCAGCGTCGCTATAAGCTTCCTGCAGATATTGAACCAGACACTGTAGTGTCTCAGCTTTCATCAGATGGGGTTCTTACTGTTTCTGCACCAAAGAAGGCCCTGCCTCAGGCTGCTAATGAGAAGGTTGTTCCAATCACACAGACCCAGGCCCCAGCATTGAAGCCAAAGAGTGCCAAAGCAGATGAACCTCAAAAGATGGAAACCTAATCACTGATGCTTCAAGTCTAATATCTGTTAACCCCTTCCAGGCATATAAAAGCTCTATACCAAGTAATGTGTTTATTTCATACTGCAAAGGGTTATTTGCATCTAACAGTACATATATATTCCATTTTCACTAATTTATAAGCATTTATTGTTCATTCACTTAAATATGTTCTGACCATGTGTACCGTTTCATACTGCTAAGGGTTTTGAATGTGCTACAGTACATATATATGCCATATTCATTAATTTATTTATTTATTTACTTCATATCCATGAATCATTTACAGGATATAGGACAAGTCGAGTATTTTGTTCTTTCTCTTAAATATGTTCTGACTTAAATGTGTAATGTGTCAAGCAGTTAAAACTAATTATTCTCCAGGAAACAGGTTCAATAAAAATTGTTTGAATTATATCTTTGTGTTTTGTTATTTGAATTAAGGGGTTATGCCTTTTTGTGAAGTTTCATTTTGCTCTTCATGTGGTGTGAAAGAAACCTGCTTGAAGATTTTCATGAATTCTTTGTGGCTTTTCTTTTATGCTACAAAATTTACTACCGATCTTGGATTTGCAGGATAATTGCATGTTCACTGAGTAATTTTCTTCTGCTCTATTTAGGAATAAACACAACTGAGACAAAATAAAATACAATCGCAACAGTACTGGATATATCCATAACTGTTTGTCAGTTATAGCTTTTCAGTCCAAAACTGGCTTGTATGAGCGGAAGGTTGTAAGAAATTAGTTATCACATGTTACTGTGTGGCAGGAAGTAGCACGTACTTACAGTGAACTCGTCTACAGGTGTCAGCCTCATACAAATATATATGATAGGTTTGTTACTACTTTAACATTCACTTCTCCCAGTACTGCAGTACAACAGGCTGAGATTATACCCAATACAAAAGTAGAACTAAGGCCGCACCATAACTCAAGCGGTTAGACGCTGGCTTCCCACCGCGGCGGCCAGGTTCGATCCTAGGTCTGGTCAAGTGGGATTTGTGATGGACAAAGTGGCGCTGGGGCGGGTTTTCTCCGAGGACTTCGGTTTCCCCTGCCAATCTTCATTCCACCAAATTCTCCATCATCATAATCACCCGGGACAGGCTGCAATAGTCCAATCAGTGGCTGCCATGCCGAATGGACCCAGTTGGACTCAACCCCCCACTAAGTGAAAAAAAATGTGGAACTACAAGTGGATATGTTTGCAGCTGCCTTACCCATTTATTTTAAGTGGTGATGACAGAACTGTAATTTAACAATGAGAAATTGGATGAATATTGAATTTACTCGAAAATTGTATTATATTTTAGTGATGAATATAGAAAATAAAATTATAAATACAGTATTGTACTTTCAGTCTAATCAGAACAAAAGTGAAATTGAAATATTTATATTAAATCCCATATTGGGCTGCAAATTTTCAAAAGTTGTAGGTGCAGCTACAATATTTGTTGCCTAAAGTAAAGAAAAGGAGGTTAGGAAGTTAACTGCATCAAAAGTATGAAGTACCATAACTTTATTAATTCATAATTTAAAACATATATTGGTTTTACTTTCATTTTTATAAAAATACATACAAAACAGTGTGATGAGTTAATCTGTACTGCCTTCTTCTTTACTCAAACATGCTCTCAAGTCAGTGTCTGTAGATGAATGATGCTTTAACAGCCATCGGTTTTTATACTTTTCTAGTTGTAACCGTTCAGTAAGGTCTGTGTTGGAATTTGTAATCGGACTGGATACATTAGAAATAAGCAAATCACTTACCATACTAAGTGAAGTTCAAATTTGTTTGATGATGTTAGTTTCATAGCAATAATTCATATTAATCCTTTGATATAATTGAGCATATGAAATTTATATGCAAATAGATTGATTCCAATGTAAAGTGAAATCTCTTGCCCCCCTGGGATGGCATGGCACATCTTCAATCAAGACTGAGGAGATGGCCTCCAGATATATAAGCTAGAAAAGGAATTGGGTTGAGAGCTAAAAACTCCTTAAAACAAAACAGTGCAGTATGAAAGGTTAAATAAGGCCTCAGAATTGGGCAGATTCGTCAAGATGATCTCAGCAAGAGAGCATGGACACAAGATTTGGTATGTCAGAGGCTAGACGACAGATTCACTGACACAATGCTGCACAGCGAAATCATTGAAACACCTAGTATTATAAGGGTGTAAGGCACAGGAGTATAATTTCAGGAGAGTCTTACATTTGCATATTCTTTTTATTATTTATCACAAACATTTTTGGCGGTATTATTAAATTAGAAATACCAGGAACTGTGTAAATTTATGTAGGATTTGAGGTTCTCACAGAAGTGGTTGTGATGTACCCTGTTCTCTGGGATATAATGTGTAGTCCACTGAAAGTCAACCAAAATTTCTGAAGAACATCTCGCCTCCATCTTCAGCTTAGAAGAACAAACAAAGCAAGAAACCAGTATGAAGAAGATAGCAAGCAGAGCTCTTCATGCTGGTTTCAACCTGTGCCATATGGGATTTGTGGTGAACAAAATTGCATTTTCTCATAGTACTTAAGTTTTCTCGGGGAGCTGGGATAGCTCAGTCGGTATAGCGACTGACTACGGACTGGACGACAGAGGGGTCGGAGTTCGAGTCCCGGTAGGGTCAAGAATTTTCTCTTTTCCAAGTCGTCCAGACCGGCTCTGGGGTCCACCCAACCTCCTATCTAATGGGTACAGGAGGTTCTTTCCCCGTGGGTAAAGCGGCCGGGGCGTGAAGCTGACCACTCACCTCCAACTAGTGCCGAGGTCAAGAAAATGTGGATCTACATATCCACTCCCTCATACGCCTTCGTGGCGTAGTGCATAATTAGTTAAGCACAAGGACAACTTTACCTTTTACCAACTCCTCCATATCCATTAATCGCCCTGTGATCGATGCTATATAGTCTCTATACTGATGGCGTTGTTAACACACCTAAAGAATGTAAGACTGACGAACAGTTTGCGGTTCGGACTACCTTCGTCTGGCTTAGGATGATATTCAACGGCGGGCTCTTGTCAACACGTTCAAGTTCCACATGAAGCGCGGAATTTGTTGACTAGCAGAGCGACTACCAGCTTTTCAACACAGACTCTGCTCCAAGAACACAGTCAACACGTGCAAAACAAGGAAGTTGTTATGTAAACTGTATAGGCGCTGTATTTGCGCATCTGCAGCTTCAGACGCCCAAGAAACTATTTTAATCGCCTGTGGCTGTATTTACTAGACATGTCTACAGTTAGCGGGGCGTTACCCAGGATTTCCGGGCTGTGATTCCGAACCTACTGGAATTTTTATTTTATCCTCGCCACCCTCTTCTTGCAGATCTGTACGGGCTTGATACACTGACGCAGTCCGAAGAGTAGAACAGAAGACCCATATTTAGTTCCCTCTGCATAACCTCCGTGAAAATGTGACGCCGAAATCCTTGATACTGTTCACATAGGCAATGAGCAACCATAAATCCCTTCCCAGCAGGAAGAATATAAAATAAAGGTGTTTGGGAAGTGGTAAGTTCTTTTTTTTTTCTGTGACGCTACAGCCCCAATTTTGGGCCTAGGCCTACCTCCATGAAACTCTCCGTTTCACTTCGGTGTACTAGATCTTACACATACGGTAGGAATCCTTGGGCGCGTGATCAGCTCGTCGCAAGGCCTCTACCTGTACACAAACACAGAAAAACGCACACAAACATCCATGCCCTGAGTGGGATTCGAACCCACGATCCCGGCTTCCGAGCGAAGACAGTGCATGCCTTAGACCGCTCGGCTACCGTGACCGGCGAAGTGGTAGGTTGGTAATAAGTAAAAGGATCACGGAGAAAATGACATAGCGAGGANGTTTTTAAGCCAATTTTTCTGCCTGTGCTATAGGAAGAATCTTGGCGGCGCCCATGAAGGGCACGTAGCATACATGCGAGCAGCTGAGAAATGCATAGAAAATTTAGTTAGGAATCCTGAAGGGTAGAGACCACTTGCGTGACAGGCATAACTGATTCTTGTGAACATGATGATGAATCTTCGGCTTCCATAACTTCTAATCCATGGAGTTGGTTGTGGTAAATTGTCGCAGTACATGAGAACTGAGGTTTTCACAATGGTCCACATTAATTGTACAAGCTTCTTTGTATCACATCCCAATAGAAATGATAGCAAGAACATTTGACAATGAAAATTATTCCAATTGCTTCATTTTCTTCCTTATTTATGCGGCTCATTGTTTACATAAAAGCATATGGATAATTCATATTTGTATATATATTTCTTTAATGCCATAAGACGAGACACTAAACAAAAGCTACCTAAAATCTAATAAAAGTTAATTTTTTATTTTTATTTTCAATGTCTTACTGCGACATGAGCTCTGTTTGTAACCCAGCATTCACCTAGGCTGTAAGTCAGCTGTTACCATGTCCTTTATGTAATCCATCATCATCCAAGAATTTGTCTTAAGACTGATCCAGTCCCAAGGTTCAAATCAGAACTAGTCTTTCTATCTTCTATGTGGTCTACCCCTTCTTCTGCTTTTTGCTGAACAGTGGTAAAATCTTTTAGCAACTCAGCTTTCTTCAAGTTTTTTCTAGACGATAAAACCAGTCTGAAATTCACTTTAAATATACTGCATACTCAATTCTTGTCTGATGGCTTGGTTTCAGATATGGTCTACTTTCCTATAAGCAGCAACAGTCCTTAAAAACCTCACTTACAAAGTCCCCCCCCCCAAACAAATATAAACAAATGAGATCACATGAACGGAGAGGCCAAGGAATCGGTCCTCACCTATGAGTTCACTTACACGGAAATTGGGGACTGATTGATTGCCGCATAAATTTACCAAATTCTGGACGTAGAATATCTTGCTTGAAAATAATATTAGCAAGTCCGTCTAGTTCCGGGAAAGAATATTACCAAATATTCATTATTGCGTGTTGTTTTTGTGGAATAAACCGGACTTATCCACTTCTGTGCGTGTGAATGCACACCACATTTTCACCTTAGCAGAATCTCTTTCATATTTTAGGCGCTCGTTGGGTGGACTCTAATTTGAGATTCAACAGGCATGATGATTTACATTCGCTGGCGTGTGGGATGCTGCTTTGTCATAAAACACGACTTCGCTCAGTCACCTTTCATCTCCACTGACATCAACTGTGCCGAATTTACGTACAAGCTGAACAAGCTACTGATCATGGAAATCCGACGGCCCTCCAAATAACGAAATAAAAAACCACGCAAGAGATAAAAACTACATTCTCTTATAAAACTCGGGATATAACAGAGCCGCATCTGGTCAGAATGTAAATATGGAAACAGCACAAAACGGGGCATCTGTGACAATTAAAAACAAACTGTGAGATGGAGTATTTCGTTGCTTATACTTCTGTTGCGGAAGCGTCGTTGTT